TTTATTATATGCAAATTAATATTGGATGTAATTTTTCTCTCTACTCTATATTCTCAAAAATAAGTATGATACAATAATCTAAAAATGATCAGACATTTGTGTTATTTTTTAACCCTTCTATTTCATATTTAAAAAATATTGACCGTCTACAATTAAAAGGTGTTTGTAATCTGCGTAAATTACTGTAATATTGACCCATTTTAAAGTAAGATGTGTGTTTTCATCAAATAACTCCGAACAACCATTTCCAACATTATCCTTAGACAATTAACCCATTTAAAAGAAGTAGAGTTTTTGATGCTAAAGCATCAAGTCGCCGGATAGAAATATGATTGTATTATCATAAATAAAAGAAAATATCAGTTTAATGGTCCGAGTATAAAGAAAAGAGGAACAATAAGTTGAGTAATGTTTGTTCATAACATGTTTTCATGTACTTGCCAAAATTATATCTTTCTTTCTATAAACTTTGTAAAAGAGTTTTATGCAATAAATTTATGTTATGTTATAATAAAACATCATATTTGAAGCAAACTTGCTTAGCAATTTTGTCAAGAAACTATTATCATTATTAGTAAGCAAGTATTGTTTGGCAATATTTATCCGAGACTCATTAATTTTCGGGAGGTCGCAAGTTTCGCCAGTTTTCATAACTTATTATGATTAGTGTTAACGATTTTATTGTAGGTATGATAAATTACATGTATATAACAATTAGCCTAGTGTTAAGTATGACGAAGTTGTAACCTAGTAGGCGCAAGTTCGAATCTTGGGCAAATCCTGTTTGTAGTTTTCATAAATGGATTTTTAAAATATCTTTTAACTATATGAAACATAAGTTGATAAATCGTGTGTTTCATTTCTAGCACATTTTTATTTCATAATTTTGATAAATGGTCAAGTTTTGCAAAATACAAAAAAAAATATCATAAAAGAAAACATAAAAATCACTTTATCGAACCTACAGTCTTCAATTTGAAACTAACTGAAAATTTAACACTTTGTCATCGAGGCCTATAAAGCAAATGATAAATATATATAAATGTTTGGGTTGTGACTTCTAACCAATAATTTTTACAATTTCGTATTAACATAATAAAACTACGAAAGACCGGTGGGGACATTTCAACTTCATGAATTATTTATTTTAGCTTTATGAATTCTCGATTTCAACTTCACTTATTCACGATTTCAACTTCATGAATTCACGATTTAAACTTTACGAAGTTAAAATCGTGAATTCATGAAGTTGAAATCGTGAATTCGCAAAGTTGAATTCAGGAAGTTGAAATCGTGAATTCATGAAGTTGAACTCGTGAATTAGTGAATTTGAAATCGTGAATTCATGAAGTTGAAATCATGAATTCATGAAGTTGAAATCGTGAATTCATGAAGCTGAAATTGTGAATTCACGAAGTTGAATTCGTGAAGGTGAAATCGTGAATTCATGAAGTTAAAATCGAAAATTCGTGAAGTTGAAATCGTGAATACATGAAGCTGAAATCGTGAATTCGTGAATTCCGTATGTTGAAAACGGGAATTTACGAAGTTTGAATTGTGAATTCATGAAGATGAAATGGCCCAATCGGTCTTTCGTAAAACACCTACTACTACAAATATTATTCAACATTCTGTACGGCATACAAGATAAGTGTTCCATGATTCGAAAAATAAATCGGTGATACTAATTTCACGCTAATACCTTTTTATCATATGTCTGTGTTTCGTATTATGATATATTTTTACCGGTCGATAAAGTGTATCATACATGTAAAGCCGTTCAATTATTTCATTATTGATTAAAATATATAAATGGAGCAAAACAAACAATACAATTATACATATCATTGTGTTACTCGTTAACACTTTAACTAAATGAATCTGATTATAAGGTCAGTCAAATTATGGAAAAAAAATCTTATGCACAGAACTCTCTTTTACAAAGATATTATGAATAAGCCAACTTGACAAAATGTAAGGCTTCAATGAATAATCTGGCATATGAACCAAGCGTTTTTGTTGCAAGTGTGATCATTCATGCGCCAAGCTTTACCTCCCTTGTATGCCATGTAGTTATAAAGGAGGCAAAGGTCATTAGGACCGTTTGTTGGCTCATCATCTCCCCAGGCTGTGAAATTTTGATTCTCTGTCTCGTATCCGAATTTCCATGGACCACCTTGCTCTAACCTTAGACCGTCTATCCACCACCATCCCCAAGCTACCCCGTATTTTTCAGCAATGAATTGATCAATGTCCTTCATTGCAATTTCTGAATTTATTTGGACAAGATGACCCTTCTCCCGCCGACACACATTTTCGGCATTTTGGCGATACAGGTTATTTTTATGCATTTTAAGACAGAGCCCATGCTCGGTTTTAGTGAATCCGTTTGGACAGTTTTTGTGTATTTTTGTCTGGCAAATTTCAAAGTCATACTCTGTTTTCAGTACGTCTTCTCGATTACAAGGAACCGTTTTGAATCCACACTCTCTACTGCGGTTACGGCTCCCAAACCCGTTAAGCGCCACTTCGCATTTTGACCATACACCCCAATCAGTGCAATTATGTAGTTGACAAAGATCTTGGATCACTTCCGATCTAATCGTACTTTTCATTTTAGATTCTAGGTTCAATATTGTCCTCCCAATCATTTGTAGTTCGGGAGATCCAATTTTATTGCCCATTTCAAGCAGGTACTGTCCATCAAATGTTTTATTTCCGTCAGGATTTGTTGTTGATTCAATAATAGGAATCTGCGTACAAAGAAGCAATACCCCTAGTGATCTCGTTAGAAACATTTGCATCATTTAGGCGTTATAGATAATAAGTCTCTTTTTCTCTGAAAAAGAAGAAAAATATTTTGGTTGTCAAAGGCATCCAGAACAAAAATGTAGTTAACGGTTGTTCAGAAGGAGTGCTAGACAAACGTTTAAGGTATGACCTTACTAATGCATTACCTCCGCTTTGAAGACTGCGTATTCAAATAGGCTAGAACTACTCTTAAATACATTGAAACTTAGGGCCGTGGGTTCAAACCCAAGAAGAGTCAACGTTTTTTCATTTACAATTTTTTGTGTTTCTCTTATATCCCTTTTGGAAAGAAAGAAGTGTTTTACTTTAATTATTTAAATAATATAGGTATCTATTGTCTAAACAATTATCAATCTTATAACAAATATGATACTTGATATTTTTCAAAGTGCAATAAAATCAAAACTAGACGGTAAAAGTATTTAATATTTTATAAGATCAACCAATACAGTTTTGAAGAAAAAGTGAAACTTTGAAAACAGGCACTGAATTTAGTATTTTTAGGGATTATTCTTAACTAGGCTCTCTAAGTAGGAGATTGGTCAAACACATGTTAAAAATAGGTTGGGTAGTGTTACATTTTTATACATATTCCATACATTTTGAGTAGGAACAATTATTCTGCTGATGTAGATTGTTAGCTGAAGGTTACATTTTATTTCTTACCAAAAATTAATGGTAAAACATTTTTCGACAAGATGATTTTGGAGAAGACTTAAAGGTCCATTATTTCTGAAAGGGTCTTTCTGACATCCAAGATAAAATTCAGAAAAGTGGCCATAACTCGAATTTCGTACGGTAAAGTTTGCATTCAGGTGTCATTGAACGTAAATATTTGGCCGATATTGTCACTTTTTCAGTTTATTATAGTGCCCGTTATGCCCATCCAAGTGTAAATGGTGAGTGCACAGGTAAACTTCAAATTAACTGTACATGTTTCGATATTTGTCTTAAATATGATATCCTTCTATAAAAGAATAATCCATCATTTATGTGACACATGGAAATTGCTATAAATGTCGTGTAATGTCCAATTTGCAGTCTTTTTTCAGATATAATACGCATTATATCATTTTTGTATATTTTTATCAGTACTTTATTTAGTCTTGTACAGACATAGTGCATAAATGTAATGTAATATTTTTCTACCTTATTGTCAGAATAATCATGAAGTTTATATGTAGAACGAGAATTTCCCTAAAGTGATATATTGTTGTAGATGAAACAACGAGTTAATATTTCTTTACAGTGATACTTTGTTTTAAATGGAGTGTAAATATCATGTTTAAACCAGTCGCTGTGCGTATATACATGTTAAATGTCAAATCGTTATAACAGGAAATATGCGAGTTTTGAAAGAGATTTAACATCAGTTTAGGACAGACACACTGATAGTGTGTAGCGTTTATTTTTTTGTTGAGAAGAGAATTTGTCGTTTTGAAGGGAGTTTTGTTGATTTGTTGAAGTTGGTTGAATATAATTGTAGTGATCTTAATTGATCAGGGTTTATTGGTTGTAATTAGTTGTTTTGGTTGTTGAGTTATAACTGTTTGATAAGATAATTAATACTTCGTTGAAACTGGTTGATTTTGTCTGGTCAAGATTATATTAGTTGATGCTATGTTTTGAGGATATATGTAAATATTGGGTGCTTTAGTTTAAGTTGTTTCCTGATGCTGATTAGATTGTGTGAAGTTTATATGTTGGATGACTGTTTGTGGTTTATACTATATCTTAGAGTTGTAAAAATATTTATTTTTGTGTTATTCATTTTGTGGTGATTTTATTGTTTTGTTTGGTCGTAAATTGTTTAGAGCTTGGAGTCGCCATGTGACTAGTATTGTTTCGTATAGAAGACGTATACGTGAAAAGATATTTCGTATAAGTGGTTGATAAATGATGTGTGTTTGTTTTGGGTGTAAAAAATGATCAGAATACTTTGTTTTGGGTGTAAATAATAGTCAGAGTTTGTTGTTTAAATGTATATATTGATTTGAGATAGAAAAAGATAAAAATACCTAAAAAATCGCGATAACTAAACAATGACATGCTAGTTCTCCAATTGATAGTATTTCAATCTTAAGTCAGGCGGTGCTGCCCAGCCCCCATATCTTGAAAATTGATTCTAGTATTTATTGCTAAATCTTTTCTTAGATAAAATAACATCAAGGCAGTCATTCTTCTGACACTAATAGGGTATGTAAGTCTCGTCATGTGACTTGCGAGATTTCACGATATTTTGCACTTCCGGGTACAAACAAATATCAACAACATTGCTTATCTATATTGGGTAATACTTGTATGCCGGTGGGAAAGTAAAACTTACACGGAAAAACAAAGGACATGTGGAAATTGGCAGAGTTTTTTGTTTTGTAACGACATGCAAATAGTTTCATCTTGTGAACAAGTATCAATGAAAGACAACTTCGTATAATCTTCAGGTGGGTGTGTCATTTCGAATTCAGTTTATCACAATAAATGTTGTAATATTTTCATGTCCATGTAAATCTAATAAATTTGTTATTTGATACATCATCATTCGCATCTAACTTCAGACTGGTGAATTTGATTTTATCAAATACAATTTTCTATAGCGCTACCTGATTATCTCTCAGAAGTATATAATATTTAGAAATTTCGGACAGCGCATATTTCGGATAAAACGTTTCAATATGATTATCGGTGGGTTTTAGTTGAATATATTTTCTCCTAACTGAAAATATTGTTTATTATTATTATTATCTTTATATAGCACAAATAGTCAAGCTGTATATAGTACCAATTTAAATTGCCATAAAATTTAATGAAATATTTTGCTTGTGTAGATATTTAGACTGAGGACAGTGGTGCGATGAAAGACGTCAGTATCCGATGTAAATACACATGCATGCTCTGCTGTAAAATCGTTTTGGTAAGAAATATATACTTAAAGCTACTTCAACTACATTAATGAAAAGTAAATATTCTTGTATAACATTTATAATGTTCTCGTTTTTGTAAATAATTATACAGTGTAGCTAAATAAACAAACAGTATGGCATATGTAGTTAATTCGGGTAAAATGCTGTTTAAAGTATTTTTCTCAAGTAAGTGGGTCATATTTTTTGGTTAAATCATGTTCAGTAAATAGTTAAAAGAACTTAGTCACTATCACATTTTTAAAGATCAGTTGTCAAAGCAAATCTACAAAAACTAGGACACCAAGAAGTGTTTCTTCCTTTTCAACATTATTTTCTATTCAAAACAATATGAAAATGATTAAAATTTATAGCTGACCAATTATTATTGCTTTCAACTCATGATAAATTTTCTTTATATGCAGGTATGTGATTACATGGTTGGATCTTGAGTACTTGTCATGGCTCTTGATTTATTTTGGAGTATTCACCATCAGATTAGAAACAGACATAGTTGAAAGGAAATGTCCATACACAGTCTTGGAGTACATAGTGGTAGAGACATGGCAGTCCATTACAGATTTTGACTGAATTAAAGCTTCTTAAAGCTCCATGTCTTGTGTAAACTGTCTAACTGAATGTTTGTATTCTAATAAAAACTATATAAGGTTTGAGACATTTCAAAGATATATGTCAGTGTAAAAATGTTAAACAAAATATCTGTCTTTGTTAGAAATAAATAACCTTAACCTTATTAATCTAGCCATTGCTGTTAGAGAATTAAAGTACACAGTGACACTTATTTTGCAGATGAACCCTTATGATCAAGTACTGCTATAAATATATGCCAAATAGTAGAAACAAAAAACAGTTCATAAGTTTGATAATTTTTTATTTTTACACAATTTATAGTGCACTGCTTAGCATATATATCACACTGATATTCCAGTGGAAGAAAAACTTCAGGAAAGCACTGGAAATTATTATTAGTTATTTAGACAGTGTAACTTTACACTGTGAATGTCTACTGATACAAGAATAAGAATATTTCCTTTTACAAATGTAAAGACTTTGAAAATTAACATGAACAAATTATCATAGAGTTATAAATCATATTCTAATTGAAAAATGGTCAGCTTGATATCAAAGCTTTGAATGCAAATTTGTGAGCTTGTCAATGATTACCTCACAATATAAGTAGTAGATGATATGTAATTTTTTTGCTATTTCTTTTTCATCTTTACTTCATAGTCATTTAATGTCCATAATGACATATGACTTTACTGTGATTCCATGAAAATTCCTAATCTCTGGTGTGTTTTCTACTTTGGTATAATTATATAGAGTAACTATCTACATGTAGTTTTAATACTTAAAACTGCAATGAAATGTGGATATTTTACTCTGTTTCTATCATTGTGACATTAACAAGTTAACAAGATTATGGAATCATAGTGTCAAACAACATAAAATCATACTCTTTTACATTAAGATTTTTCTGCTGGATGTCATTCATCTTCTTCAGGAAAGTACATTTGACTTATCTCAATGGCTTATATTAAACTAATATTTCACTGTAACTGTGTGTTCTCTGATATCATTCTCAAATTAAGGAACTGGAAGATGGTAGTTTCAATAAAGGTCTTCATTGACAAATTCTCCTTCATCTTTTTCCTTTTTATCTGCATAATGAAAAATCAATAACTATGTTGTTACAAGTGTAAGACCTGACTATATTTCACTGAGTAAAACACTAGAAATGATATTTACATTAGTCTAAATAAGCTAGTCATGATTAAATTTCATATTTGAAGTAAATAAACATTAAAGATAAACAACAACACATAATATATAACAGTCAAAAATATTGATCTTCTTGAATGTGAAACATGACTGTTTTTCATGTTTTATTTACTTATCAATTATCATGCAAAGAAATCAAAATTATTAAAATATTTTGATAATTGTTTATCTCTCCGATCTCAACTAAAAATTAAACAATTATTTTACATGTATTTACCTTTGATGTATAGATATTTCAGGATCATAGGCAGTGCAAACAGTTGATTAATGGTCCATAGTGAACAACTGTATATTCTATACTTGTCATATTACCTCCCTGTCTACACATCTGAAATGTTTTATTCAAATATTAAATTTTTTAATTCAATCATAATTTGCTAGGTACCATATTAACATGTATATATAATTATAAAGGGAAGAGAATAAAAAAAGAAGTGTTAGTGCCTTGATACTTTTCTCCATAGTTAGAAATGGAACAATACTATTAAACTTTTAATAAATCTATGATCTATCCATCTAATTTTTATTTAATAATCAAAACTCTTACTTGGGACCTGGGTTTTATTATACTAATGTAAGTAATTGAAATCTTGATAAAATGGAAGGGAAGAAATATCCGAATTACTGTGCAATGTCCGAATTTTGTATAACTTTAATATACACTAGAATTAAAGTGTTTCTCCATTGTTTATTTCAATAAGTTAAAATGGTTTGAATAAATTTCTCACATCAGTAGTTTTAAAACAATAGATTCTACTAAACGCTAAACAACTAGAATTCACTAACTTGACAAAACATCCGAAACAATTGTCACTATCCGAAAATAAACTAGTTTTATTAAACTTTATAAATCCCTCGTTTTTCTGTCAGATAATTGACCTACCTGCATTTTTTGACCCGTGCTTTCCATTCCTTCAAATCTGAAGAGGACCGAAACAAATTTAACTTCTATATCTCTCGAGTTCTTCGGGTTACCTATATGCGTAACGGTAAATAAGTCTGCCGATGTACCCGGAAGTGGTAAATCGAAAGTGAAAGTAAACGAGACTTACGGGCCCTATAACACAATAATCAAACGTAATAAAACTTAAATTCACATTCATTGTTATTTATGTAAATAAAATGATGTATCTACGTCTTCCCTGGGATCCGATAAGAAAATGCATATAGTGTATTAGGAAGTAGTTCCATTTCTACGGAATAGCAATAATAAATTTCCGATAATTTCAAAATTGAAAAATTAACAAACAGATCTTCATTTGTTAAGAAAACATGAGTTATTTCTTTGTAAACAAATTATTGAAATAAATAACTTACCTGAAAATATTTAATCAATTTTATAGTAAACATGCTTGAGATATAAGCAAAGCTGTACACTGTCGTTTAAGTACAACATATAGTAGATACTTCACATTAAAAGCTTTGAGATACCGTAACCCGTGTAACTCGAGCTAATGAGCTTATAAGACCAACCCGATTGCCTATGCGATGTTTGCTATAATAAATAATTATACATAACAATACAAAAATTATTTGCTAACTTTATATTGAGAATTTTCTGTAGATTATTTTATTTATTTCGTCAATAAACGTGTATATCATTTTCTTTTTTTTTTATTTGAATTTACGCTAAGAAATATCAAAATTCAAAGGAATGATTTTGAAGTTATGTTATATTCTGTCCACGATTTTAAGTGTTTTGATAATGATAATTGACATAACGCCAGAGAAGAGATTGCTCCGCCCACTGATTCACGTGACCCGGTCATTCAGTACCTTAGACAAAACACGGTACCGACTTTTACGGGAAACTATTATGCCATTAAAGTGATTAATGAAATAATCTTATATAATTTGAAATAATAATTATATAAAATTTCTAAAATGCTTTTTCATGGAATAGGTTCAATGTTTATGGTATTTAAAAAGTAACAAATAACTGCATTCATGATGAATAAAAATTTGGCAAAGATCTTGTTAAATTTTCGTTGACTTCAAGGAAGATGCAAATGACAAAATATCATTTTAGTTTACAATTTCAAAGTTTAAATTGAAGTAGAGGAACATATAAATAGTAAAATTATATCAAAAACACAGTAACATTTACAAATATTTTTATATGCGAAATCACTTATACATGTAAATAATGCTTTTTTTGCATAAATTGCTAAAATTGAATGACAAAATTGCCCTTGCGTAACTTTGTAGTATGATATATGATTTTATGTAAATTGTACATTTGATATGTGTCGTGATAAAACGCAATATAATTCACTTCAAAAAAAACTGTGCACACATCAAACGCTGAGATATCGCCGTAATCAGATATGATGTTATTGAAGCAGATGTATTTAAATATTCAAGCTTGAGCTTTCATAGAAATATTTAGGTAGGATAATTTCACCTAAAATATTCATTGCATATTTTTTTTCATTTCATTTACAAGTACTTTTTCTTACTGCAGCATTTTATTGACACTATGTTAGAAACGAACAAAAAACATATCATATCATCTGGATATTCTGGGACCTTATAATATACATATTAATGTGATTATGAAGAGACATAATTGTTATAAAGGAAAAGAGTATTTGTTTAATTTTTTTTCTTGTTTAATGCATTGTGGTATAGCCAGATTTAACATACGTATCTGCTATATAACTTATAATCTTCATATATACAAAGTTAATGTTTTTTATTTTTGTTTTTTTTTTTTTTTTTTTTTTTTTTTTTTTCTACAGACTCCATCTATCAATATGTCAGGATATTTGGTAACTTAGATATAAACCGATTTAATAGCTTTAAATTCGAGAAAAATCAAAATAATTTCAATATAAATACTGCTGCACCAATTGTCTTATACAAATAGCTTGTATAAGTAAAATGGCGGACTTGCAAACATCTTAGCGTGAATCTGATAACGATTGCCGATCGGCTTTTCTGTAAGACCCCTGCCAGCTTGATTGACAGGCGGCGTAATGTCAATAACAGACAAATCTTTTTAATCTTGATCTCAATCCTCAACATTGATATTTAATTAAACCATTTATTTAGAAAATGAAGTATTTAGATCTCTTGACATTTTATATTATTAAGTATAAATATAAATATTGATAATTGTAATGTAGAAATTTCAGCAATTCTAAAAGTGCTTACCTCTTTGATGGATATAACGTCCTTTTAAAGCTGAGCTCACTCTTCTGTGTAACTTAACTGTTGCAATCCTTT